TAAATGTGGTGTCCGGAAAATGTATTTATGTCGTTTTTTTTTAATTGTGAATAATTAAACTAATTTTTATGTTAATGTAAGTCAAATATGTTGAAATCTAACTATGTTTGTATTGTTCTAAATAATTTTGCTTGTTACTAATAATGTTTTTCGTTTTTGCAAATTAATAAACAGACTCCCTGAAGATGACGCGAAAATGCGTCGAAACGCGTAGGATAAAAAAATAAACTTTGTTTTTATTTTCAACACACCGGCCGAAAAGCTCCAAATACAAATACACAAATAAATTTACAACATTGGCCCAAAAGAAAAAATAATCATCAAAAATCATTTTAAATTACGGTAGGACATATAAAAATAGATATGTGAGTATACATAAAATTGCCGTAAGACACTTACAGCATGTTGATTTATTTAATTTAAATTTAAAAAATAATGATTATTTTCCATCCCTGCTTACAAGCCAAACCAGATGTGTGAGGTTTTTCTAAACCTCTTTAAAAAGAATTCTCCATTCTCATTCCATTGGCTGTTTCAGAATTTTGGGAATTTGTAACTTCATGAGCGTTTTTCGATTTTAGTTTCTGTTATTTTTAATACTTCCTTCTGCGACGGGTTTGAAAAATTTGTGCTTATGGTGGAGCTTAATAGGTTGATATGGAAAATAAATTACTAGTTTCCAGGAATGAAAATCTTGAACAAAATTTTGTTATCAAAGTCGTGGCTGCCAGCCGAATCGGATCAGAATATTGTTATTTTGTTAAAAAAAAAACACCCTGTTTTTTTATAAGCATTTGAATCTCAGATAGCTACGTAACTTGTATCTTATTAAAGGTCGGACCTATAGTTTTTTTAATTATTTGAGCATCAATTCTCTTTATAGCCTGACGTTTATCATTTCTGCTGGAAATCCCTATTTAAGGAGCTTACTCTTTGACTTTAAATAGCAAAGAAGGAACAGTTTTACCACAGAAGTTTTTAGCCAAGGATCCAATGTATATCCCTATGAAAAAAAAATATTGCCCGACAAGTAAACAAAATTACTGTTTTTAAAATTTTTGCTAAAAATAAAATCCCCCAAAGAGCCCCATTTGAAATTATTGAGACGAAAATCACGAAAATTTGGTTAGGAATTACAGTGCACTCTTTCTTCTTTTGTGTCTAGTGTTTATTTTGAGATTGGTCCAAAAAAATCATAATAAAGAAAGAAAGAAAGGAATGCAGGTATTTAAAGCACAAAAAAAAATTGTTAAAAAGACTATGTTCTCTTTGACGTACGTCAAAGGTCAAGTAAAAGTTGGATCTTGTATGACTGCCCATTGATAGCTCGGTTATATAGCTTAAGAAATAATACGTTTAAAGACATTTTTATCAAAGTTGATAAATATGACATTGACCAGTTTTGTTACACAAATACTCCCACGACCACAGGCAAAAATATTGGCTACAATTTGTCACTTTGTTTGCCATATATACGTTTTGTCGGTGCACTTGCACAACATTCGCATTCGCAAAAGCTCCGCATTGAGTATTGCGAATGCGAAAGCGAATGCGAATGTTCGAAAATTAAGCCCACAGCAGCAAAAAATTGCAAATCCGTCAAAAATTGCAAAAACGAAAACCACTGACATTAACCCGCTACTGTGACAAAGAGCCGAATGAAGTTTCCAAAGCCAAACCCAAACTGCCCCCAATTTATTTACGAGAGCAAAACTGTAGTGAGCTAGTGAATAAATAAATTCAGCTTATTGGAGACAATACGTTCCACGTAACATCAATTACCAAGGGTAACATTAAAGAGACTAAACTTCAGATTCTAACTGAAGAAAATATAAAACACAAACAAATAAATAACACAAACGGCAATAACGCAAATTTCTGTTATTTCCCAATTGAATGTGAAACAACACAACTTTGCTTTATTTCATTTCTCGTTAAGCAATAAGACCAACTTTTATACTTAACAATTTGAGTAATAAAGCAAAATAGTGCACATATGTAGCTAGTCACCCAGTTACATTTGACAAAAAGTAGTACATGAACAAGTTAAATGGACGGATTTGTAAGTATACAATTTTGAAAGTGCCCGGCGTCGCGGCGGTCCGCGTTCGCTCGCCGCCCCGCGCCACCCCGCCCCTCTCCTCCTTTCGCAATTATGTACTGGTGGCATTATAACCGTTTAGAAGAAGGAAAAATGATAAAATAACACTAGTTCACTTCTGAAACTGCTTTTTAATGTCCAAGTAATAGGAATTATTGTGTATGGTGTTATTGGATGCATCCCACCCATAGTGGAAATGTGACTATAAGGCAGCCGAATGTCAGAAAATAAAGCGAGAAAGCCGTTTTATTACTTCATCTGTTTATTGCGATATGGTTCCATGCAAACATTGCAATGTTTTTAACATATTAAAAAGCATGCAGAAAAAATTCATACAAAAGCGCTATGTCCAATATGCGGAGCAGTTTTTAAAGACGATGCTTTTCCTATATTTTGTTAGACTTTTCATAAGTAAAAATATTTTGTGAATATTACTTTCTTCATATGAATTATATCACATTTTTTGTTTAATTCAAGGCCTATCAAACAGGTTTAGAGCATTTGAGCAAAAACAACATTTTCCTGTATTTTGTTGGTGCTTCTGGTATCGAAGGTGCCAAAAAGTGTTCTGATTTTTTTCTTCTACATCAAAGCGTGCCATGCGAAATACGAAAATCGTAAAAAATTTAAATTGAAAAAATGAAAATTGTTGCAACTTTCTTCCTTAGTAAATTGGTTCGCTTCTCGAAGCATTGATCCATCATCCTGTGCCAGGCCCAGTAATCAGCTTTTGTGCTGCTGAGTTGGGCGAGCTTTCCAAAAGCTGCTATTTAATCGCTGGTTTTGTATGGAAAATGTTTCACATGCAAATAGATTTTAACAATTTAGAATTTTTGTGAGAAGAAATGTAAAATATTTGGCATTTTCGAGAACAAATAATTTTAAAAAAAAATCAAATCAGCTGCTATACTGATATTACCTGTTCAATGTGCCTTGGTTTAATTGTATTTTTGGAATAAACAATGTTCTTTTTCCTTCTGTCAGTAAACTCCCTTTTTTTTACAAATAGCATAAATAAGCAATGGGAAATAAGGCAAAATTTGTTTTATTTCCAACCTTTGTTGGAAATAAAGCAAAACTCAGATTTTGGTATTATTTCCCATTTAAAAGTGAAATAAAGCAAATTTTGCGTTATTGCCGTTTGTGTTATTTCACCCCCCCGGTAACCACACCACCAATTACCACCTCTTCCACCACTCCAACTAGCTCTCATACATATCAATACCTCACGTCATCAACCACTACACCAGGAGCCTTTTTTGCCAACGCGCAGCAAGTTCCCAACGTTTCTTTTGCCGACGCATTAAACTAACAACGCAGCCAAGTNAATAAAGCAAATTTTGCGTTATTGCCGTTTGTGTTATTTCACCCCCCCGGTAACCACACCACCAATTACCACCTCTTCCACCACTCCAACTAGCTCTCATACATATCAATACCTCACGTCATCAACCACTACACCAGGAGCCTTTTTTGCCAACGCGCAGCAAGTTCCCAACGTTTCTTTTGCCGACGCATTAAACTAACAACGCAGCCAAGTACGGCGAAATCAAACTCCAATCAAGAAACATTTGCAAATATTCAAAAGAATAATACTGAGCAAATGCAGCCGACCCACCCATTTGTGGCATAGAAGGAACGATATTGAATCTTACCCAGTGTATGAATCAATTCATGTCTACTATGCAAAATATGATTCCAGACCTCATAAAGGCTCAAAACCAGATGTTGTAAATTTTAGTGAATAAAAAATGAGTGATTTGAAAATTGGCTTATGGAACGCTAACGGTGTAAACCAGCGTAGATCAGAACTCAGTCTTTTTCTCACTGAATATAACCTAGTTGTTATGCTACTGGCGACTGCAACGCAAAGCATACGTACTGGAGATCACGCCTTATTAACCCAAAAAGGCGGCAGTTATACAGGTCAAACCTCCTGGTAAACCTACTTACTTGACCACCGATATAAAGAAGATATTAGACCTAATAGATTTCGGAATTACAAGAAACATAGACAGAAATAACATAACAGCAGAAACTCTAGCTGAACTATCATCCGATCACTCCCCTATATTAATAAAACTATACGAACAACCCCAAAACAGCGAGATTGAGCCTCGTATAACTTCAAATAACACTAACTGGCTTAAATATAAAAAGTACATCAGTAGTCACCTTAAATTAAACGCTGCACTTAACTGCGGGGGACATATAGACTCCTTTGTTGAAGATTTTAAAGAAACACACTTCAGCCGCTGGCCTGGCAACACCAAAACAAATCCAAGTACCACCTACGCCTACATCAGTTACAAATACCGAAATAGAAAAACTTATAACAGAAAAATGGCGCCTAAGAAGACAGTGGCAGTGCCAAGTAGGAACCAAAGTGGTACCTGGGCTCCTAGTGAGCAGGAGAGAGCCGAGTGTTTTTCGCACTATTTAAAGAATTTGTTTCAGCCAAACTGCCCAACGAACAACTTCAGGCTACCACGGTTAACCAAAAATACAAATGAGCTATACACACCTAGCAAGACGAACTCTTTAGAAGTAAAAGCTATAGTAAAGCAGCTAAATCCAAAGAAATCTCCGGGTGCTGATTTTATAACTCCGAAAATGCTAATAGAGCTAACGAATATTGCACTAGCAATTCTTTCTGACCTTTTCAACGCTATCATCAAATTCGGTTGTTTTCCGAAATCATGGAAAAGGTCGAAGATAGTCATGTTAGCCAAACCTGGAAAAGACGCAACAAAGCCGCCTTCATACAGACCAGTATGCTTACTGCCCTGTCTTTCCAAAGTATTCGAAAAGGTACTCCTATCAAAGATATCTCCCTTTCTCCATGAACGCAATTTAATACCAGCACACCAATTTGGCTTCCGAGAAAAACATGGTACAATTTTACAAGTTAATCGAATTACAAATGAAATCAGAAGGGCATTTGAGCTCAGAGAGTACTGCTCTGCAACTTTTCTCGATGTGGCACAAGCATTCGACAAAGTGTGGCACGACGGTCTTATATATAAAATTAAAACAAATGTAACCGCCGAAATTCCACAAAATATTTGAATCATACTTATCTAACAGAAAATTTGCTGTAAAAGTATCTAATTTCACTTCAGAAGACATGTCGATAACGGCTGGCGTTCCTCAAGGTAGTGTACTCGGGCTTATGCTGTATATCATCCACACTTCAGATATTCCTACTAAAAAGGATATACTAACATCCACCTTCGCTAATGATACTGCCTTAGTAAGTTGTAA